AAAATTCCGTATACTTACCCCGAGCAACAATTGGTCGACAGCGTATTTTCTTTCATTGTTACAAGTATATGACTGGGTTATTTCAATAAAACACTTTAACGATTTAAAAGTGTTTTAATGTGTGCGAAATTTTTTAAACATTTCAAATCTCCGCGTCCCCCCATGACCACGATTTAAATAAATTGTAAAGTTTAATTAATACATTTCGCATTTAAACCGTTCAAGGTATTTTAATAACTTACTACTCGCTTAAATTACAGAGAGTATTTGACTCAAGTATTTCATCTCCTATCAAGCGATCGGCATGATTGTCTGTCCTCCCCTATCATAAAAATAAACATACTTATAGTGAAAGTGAAAGCCCGTTTCCCCCTCGTGGGGCATGGGGCGAACACATTTCTGTGTCCGTTTCACTGATCAGTTCTTTTAACGGGCAAGTAGTTGATCAGACTACTGCGCCCTGCCCGACCGAAACAATTTTTTCGTTTCCCTGGGATTCGAACCCAGGACCTCTGCGATCAACGCAATACTAGGCAATACGTTTAACCATTTGGCTACAGAGGCGGTCACATATACAGCTTATAGCATAGGTAATAACTATGCATTCGTTTTGACGTAAATGACAGAAATAGACACTAACACGTCAGCGACACTTTATCTTAAGTACATTTTGTTTAAACAGCAAAGACACAATACAATTATTGACATGTTCTTTGTATCCAATAATTACGTTTAACGTGCTATTAACATCAGCTTTAGTTTATCGTAAACGTTTGTAATTGATTTGTTAATAATTCATGAAGTTCTCAAGTATTAGCTAAACGTAATAACGAAAATACATTAGTATTATTACAAGTCTCTGTAGCTAAATGGGTAAATGTGTTAGCATTGCGCGAGATGTACTGGATCAGATCAGAAGTGTGCACCCCGTACGATATATCTACCATACGTTTTATATCCAGATTTTCACACTATGAGAAAAATCATAAAATTACCTTTAAAGACATGTTGGACCTGATGGGAATCGTAGCTATGACCCATTGGGAGTCCAAAAGATATAGAGGTATATCCATCATCAAGTAAATCCGTGATTGTCTGTCCTAATAAAGCTTTAATAATGCTATCTGTGCCCGCGACTTCGTGCGCATGGAATAGGTATTACGGTCATCATCTTATTTATTTTAGCAAACAATATCCTTTGCTTTAAAAATGATAGCCGTTATCCTGCGTCACATCGTTGTTGCGAGTTAATCTTATCTGTCGCGGACTTTTTTTAAAGAGGAATCATTCTTCTAAACATATTTTTGGGTATTTTGAACTATTTTCGTACGGAACGGTAACCTACAAAGATTTTTTTTTCTAGAGAGATTTAATTTTTCCCGTTTTTTTTCCACATTTTCCATTGTATCTGCGCTCCTATTAGGCACGTCGCGATGTTTTATAGCCTATAGGTTTCCTAGAAAGCTCTAACCAAGCCAAAAAAATTCAATTCGAACTAGTCGTTCCTGAGAATAGCGTGTTCAAACATACAAACAAACTCTTCAGCTTTATATATTAGTATAGATGTGACAGGCGCCACTTATATAAACAAAATTGTTGCCTGTGTACTATTTTGTAAACAAACGCTTTTAAGCGTTTTTATGGAGGAAACTTCATCGATTAATTAAAATAATCGAAGCAGAACGTGACACGATTATCGTAACACAGTAATATAAAATAACTCTTAAGAACATTCATGTCAATTAAATATAAACGGGTTAGTTATCTTTATATGTCCATAAACTGTATTTCAGTACTGAAATAGTTCAGTAACAAAATAGACAGAACTAATATATCAAGTTAAACAGTCTAACTTACAAAACAAAACGAAAAAAGAAAACATTAATTAATTTATATACTAAAACTGTTTTAATGGTTTAAACGCGAAATATATTAATTAACTTATTTTCAAATAATTGTAACAAAAATAAATAAATAAAACATTAATTTCCTCTTTTTAACTGTTTAAAACGCGAAATTAAGAAACTTATTTTTCATCTGTAGTTTAAAGTAGTAGTCAACATTTGAATAGAACGCTCTTAACAGTTTAAAATGCGAAATATGTTAATTAACTTATTTTCAGTTTATTTTAACTACTAATAAGTTTCGCGTTCTAAGCCGTTAAGACTGTTTTATTAAAATTTTGCTTTTACTTCAAAATACGAAATATATATTGGTAAACTTTATAATTTAAATAAAACACTTTAACGGTTTAAAACGCGATAACTCGTCTCAGTCGAGACAGTCTCCCCGTGACCACGGCTGCTGCAAAGCATCCGAAACGTCGGGCCGAAGTTAAAAATAATTTTCAAATAAGTTTAACCAATACATCGCGTTTTAAACCGTTAAAGTGTTTTATTTAAACGTGTACTACGCGTAAACTATAGACACTATTTAATTAAAGTTTCCTAATATATTTCCCGTTTTAAGCCGTTCAAAGTGGTTTTTGACGTTACATTTTTACATTAAATAAATTGACCGCTGTATGACTTGTGTGTCCATTTTTGGTACACAACAAGGATGTCTAAAGGCGACTTTGAATCGATGTTAAGTGCTTAGCACATTTTTAAAATATTAATGCATTTTATTTATAAACACGCTAATTTAGGATTTTTGAACTTAAACTAAATAAGTGTAGAACAGAGACATTATCAAATGTGTGTTATTTTGTATATACATAGTTCTTAAAGATATTTTTTTGCATTTTTTTTTATTATTTACTATTGGGCCTTGTGATCAGTCCACATAAACTTAATATTTGCTCTCTGCGAAAGAAACACTGGATAAATTCCGATGAGAGTGGTAACAAACACTGAGACAGGAAAATTTTATATATAAAACCACTCTCATCGGAATTTATCCATCCCTAGCATTTGTTTTCACATTGTTTTACATGTTTTTTTAATAATGTGGCACGCAACCTTAATTTGTCACAATTCAATCAACTTCAAATTTTTTGAGTAGTACTTATCTAGTAGTAAGTGTTTTAATGTCTGTCATTGTCTGTAGTGCTACAGACAATACGTTATATCGTATAAAGTTATAGAGTATAGATGGATATATTCAAAATTGCCTCGTTAGGAAAAGCCAGATTGCCTAGGTCTTACACGGAAAACCTTAGGAAAAATACAGTTAAGGTTATCATGATTCGGAACATAAATTAATTATCTATTCATAATAAAAAATACTTTACTATCGACTTGCATCATTTTAATGAAATTCTTACTTTATCTTACTTCCTATTACTAAAGATAATATTTGACGTAAATGACTGCCTCTGTATATACCTACAGAGGCGGGAGGTTAGGTTGTCTAGCATTAAGCTCGAGAGGTCCTGGGGCTCGAATTTGGGGACAACAATAAACTTAAATAAAACACTTTAACGGTTTAAAACGCGATATATATTAGTTTAACTTAATTGAAAACTATTTTAACTACGGCCCGACGTTTCGTGACCTCGTCTCCTCGTGACCACGGCTGCTGCAAAGCATCTGAAACGTCGGGCCGTTGTTAAAATAAGTTTAACTAATATATATCGCGTTTTAAACCGTTAAAGAGTTTTATTTAAATGTTTACTACTCGCGTGAACTACAAACAGTATTTAAAGCACAGGGATAGGTACAAAAGTCTGATCAACTACTTGTCTGTAAATAAAACACTAAAACGAACATAGAAATGTGTTCGCCCTTTGCTGTACACGTGGAAATGAAATTTATAGTTGATTCTTCTACGCTCTGCTTGGCCAAAACGTTTTTTTCCCGGGGGTGAAGCCAGGACCTCTAGCGATGAATTCTACTATTTAACTCTGGCTGCGGTCAATATTACAAGGAAACGATGATTACACATTTTTTACATCGAAAACCCGGTATCGGAAAATATATTATCTAACGCGGTTCAAGGTATTGTCATATAGCACAAAAAATATATAAAACTGGATATTCATTAACCATGTAATATACAAAATAACATTTGCATAACATGACCACACTTCCGCATAACATTAGTGATGATTAGTTAAAAATACAATTAAAAAAAATACAAAAATACCACGTAACGTCTGAAGAAGATGTGTTGTCGGCCTATTTTTGTACATCTACAGACCGAAACCGAAGTTAAGCCTCACGGCTTTTTCGTTTGTCAACCGTGGTTCGTGGCTCGGATATAATTTCGTTTTTTATTATATATGGGTGGTAGACCCATTTAATATTCAGATTTCCAAACGAACTCCAAAATGTTTCCAAAATGTATCAATTTATTGGAAACATGTTGGAACCGATGGGGATCGCATCCACGACCTACGCATTATTAGTCATGAATTGTTACCATTAGACAAACGAGCTCGTTCATACTAAGATATCGTAAAAAAATCGTTATACGGGCTGAACACTTGTAACCGAATTAAAAAAGGAAAGAGACAATAATATCACTTGTATTTAGATTTATGTGTGTTATTGAAATAAATAATATGTATATTAGATGAACTTATTTGAGACACCCCGAGTGACCCACGTCTGCTGCAAAGCATCCGAAACGTCAGGCCGTAGTTACAATAATTTTCAAACCAGTTTAAATAAAGTAAATCGCGTTTTAAACCGTTAAACTGTTTAATTTCAATGTGTACTCGCGTAAATTACAGACAGTGTTTAACATAACTTTATTTATCATAACGCAAATTACCTATACATAATTCTGCCATTTTAAAAAAAATATATTTCATGGCTTCGTTTATTCATAAATCAATACCAGCAAAAAATTAACTTTAAAAAGATTATGATGAGCAAGTTAGGACTACCCTCACAAATAAAACACAAATTAATAGAAAATAACAATAGACAGAATTGTATTTTTGTAGTCAATAATACCTTTTTAGGTATATATTTATTACATACTTTGTATTTATTTCTCTGGCAATTATATTAAGATAACACGTTTAAGTTTTTTTATAACTACCCGCATTTATAATGTATATCAAGTGGACGGTGTCAGTGGCTTCGTTGAAACTCATCGATATTAATATTTGTATGTTAATCTGTTAGCTACGTTACCATATAATGTTTTGAATGTTAAACAAACTTACATACATACCAATAAAATTATATTTAATGTGAAATAAGTGGAAACATTACGTTTTAAGTGTGATGTGTGATTTTTAACCTAACCTTTTTTTAAATACAAATGTCAACAAACAGTGTTATAGTGTTTCAAATGTTTTGTGTCTTGCTAAATTATTATTATAGTCATATTAATTTAAAACAATTGACAAACATTTTATGAAGATTGAGAGAATGCAGTGTCATTTTATATTTTTCAAATGAAACCCGCGTTTTAATAAAAGCTGTTCTGTGAGAATTTGTATGTCTCCAATTTGATTTATTCACTAAAGCCTTGTTTACGCGAGTAGAACACATTTAAATAAAACACTTTGATGGTTTAAAACGAGATATAAACTTGTACGAAAATTATTTTTAACTACGGCCCGACATTTAAACTAAAGTAAAGAAGCCTTTTTTTAACGTTAAAACATTTTGGTTATATAGACATATTATGTAAAGGACAAAATTACTCTCCGAATTTGTGTGTTTTATTCGCTACAGTTTAATTGAAGTCTTGTTATTTTGTTTGAAAACTAAAACCAAGTTTTTCTCTTGCAGGTCGCCTTGCTGTTATAACGTTTAGCATCTGCACCGTCGTGCTGGGAATAGTTTTATCATTCGTGCCATGGCTAGATTATATTATATTTAGGGTAAGTAACAAGTGTATATCTTTACCGCCTCTGCAGCTTAATGGCTAAACTAGCTTTGCATTTCCGAGAGGGTTCGAACTCCGGGGAGACAATAGCTCGTTTCGCTTTGGCAGCACAGTGCAGCATAGAAGTCGGCTCAACTTTACTTTACATACATTTGATTTGAATGCTGATAATTGTATGGTAAAATACTGTCTATAGTTTACACGAGTAGTACACATTTAAATAAAACACTTTAACGGTTTAAAACGCGATATATTAGTTAAACTTATTTAAATAATATATCGCGTTTTAAACCGTTAAAGTGTTTTATTTAATTGTATGGTTGATAGATCCAGCCAATGTAAGAATAATCCTAAAGGTTCAACGTGTGGATATCCCTAGTTTTAGAGATATTAATTTTTGAAAATTTGAGTAAGATTTTCACCGTTACATTCGTATGATTGTATCGTATGTAACGTAAAACTGAGCCCAGAAGTCTGATCAACTCGCCTGTAAAACCGATCAGTGAGACAGACACAGGATACTTACAGGCGTAATTTAATTTTTATTCATATATTTAATACGTACTTGACAACAAAACTATTTACTATAATTTAGTAGTGTTGCAGCGGTTGCAATAATCACACGTAGTATGAGTGAGTAAGTTTTTTTTATAGTTAAGAAGGTGAAGGTTTACTTGATGGAAGGTAAAAAACCCATATAACATCCTAAACAAAGGGCGGTAGTTTGCGACATCAAAAAATCAAAGTCTGAAACCGCAACGCGATTAGTGTCAACGGCTTTTCACCCTGTTGACGGACGGTACGGTGTCCCAAACTTCAATATACCTACACAATTCAGATCTTTCCAGTATTAGTTCTATAGAAAAATCCGTCCGAGTACGAACTACAGATAAAAAAGCTGTGAAGTTTAATCGCATTTCGGCATATCCTGGATTTCCAAATATCCAAAGTCAAAAGAGGCCGATATTTCACCATCAGAAATTACAACTTACCTTCTCTTTTATCTCCTCTTATCCAGGAATTACGGTTATGGAATGGTTCAGTGAGCTACAGTTATTGGCAGAGACCAGGGGTCATACGTCTGACCAAGGTCTACATATTCAACGTGACGAATCCCCAAGGTTTCTTGGAAAATGGCGAAAAACCCAAGCTGAATGAAGTCGGACCTTTTGTCTATAGGTAAGTTGTCCCTTTAAAATAAAAAATAAGCTATAAGAATAATTATGATAGTCATGAAAAATATTGTAGAGACTTTTCAGTAGTCTCATTATATTTTCTCTGGAGTTCCGGAAAGAAAAACAATTAAAAGAACACTTTTAACGGTTAAAAACGCGGACTGGCCAAATACTAACTACGACGGAACAGATGGCGCTAGCGTAACAGTTTTACGTTGCCATTAGAGACGTGACCATAGCTGTAGCTAAGCATTATTGCTTAGTTGAAGACGTAGAAGAACTGGCAAGAAAGAAAAAAAAACGAGTTCCTGTCACTCCTCCTGTGTTTTGAAAGAGAATTTGTGAAATGTTCAAGTCCTTGTAACAGACAGACGGTCACAGAAGTCTCAGTAATAGGGTTCTTAACCCTGTTCGGTGTGGAACCCTAAAGATGTCACTGAACTTCGGTTAATCTGAACAAAAAAAAGAATACGTTAATTCAATACAAATGATAAATCGAAAATCTTTAAGTGCTTTTAGCGGGTCGAACCAATGGATTTACAATGTCTCGACGGTCACTTGTTAAAATCTTAGGACCCACTTGAAGATGCACGTATAGGGAAAAAGATAATTAAAATTTTAAGACTTTGATAAATGGAAACTTTTCTTAATGATTAATTCGTGTGTTAGCGTCCAATATACCTACCTAACCGGATATTTTTTCGTGTTAGCGCTTAGGTCAAAGGTGCCCCGAGGGGGGTATCAGCCTGGGCTTGTACCACCGTAGTGTGGGGTCTTGATGAACTGGACGAACGGTCATCCATGTAATCCAGGGGGCGGTTTCGCGAACGATCGGCGCCAGCGTCGGATAGCGTGACAAAATAATCAAATAAAGACTAAGTGCTAATTTTAAAACATCCAGACAAATACACTCGAAGAAAATAGTGCTTGGTTGAACGTTGCCTAGCTTGCTTGGGTTCAAATACCGGGAAGAACAGAAGATTTCACTTACACTTGCTGAAATAATAACGAATATGAAAAAAATATCTGCGTAAGTAATACAATTTAACGGGGTGAAACGTGATATTTTACCAGTATGTAACGTTTATAGTATACCGTAAGCACTGCTTTTGTAAAGCATTCGAAACGTCGCGCTGTAGTTAAGTTAAATATCACTAAACTGATTTTCGTGTTAAAAACCGTTAAAACTGTTTATTTTTAATCTACTCGCGTAAACAACAGAAAATATTTAGCAATAATTATAGAAACACAAATAAAAAATCTCTATTCTTTAAATTAAATCCGTTAAACAAAAAATGTTAATTACCTTGTTTAATTGTAAGAACAAATATTAAATGTACACGAATAATTAAAGTGGCTCGTGTGGTAGAATTATAACTACAAACAATGTTATTTTTCATTCATGAATATTTGGGAAGAATAGCTATGTAGCTCTTGGCCAAACGTGTCCATATATTTGTGTATAGCATTTTTTGTCAAGCCAGATAACAACGTTTGATTTAACGGTCGAATTCCATACTGTTATAAATGTGTCGTAAATTATAATTTAATAAACCAGAAAGGTATATTAAATAAATTATTAGCTAGGTTTGGGGTTCCTTTTGATAGATGAACTATATGCTCAATATTGGAAGCTCTAGGAACAGATTAAAAAAATAAGAATATAGATTTTTTATTTGAACTTCACTACCTGGTAAACGCTTTTTTGCATATGAAGTGTTTCGAAAATTTCATAATTAATTATTATTTAAGGACTCTTCTTTTCCACGTATTTTTGGGTATCTTAAACCGTTTCGCAGCTACGCTCGTAAACCGCTTTTCCGTTTTTTTCACATTTCCCGCTGTCTGTCGCTTCTATTAATCGGAGCGCGATGTTTTTATATATGCCTTCGTCGATAAATCCTCTGAACAACACAAAAATAAATTTCCAATACGAACCAGTAGTTCCTAATATTAAACAAACAAACTCTTCAATTATATATATTACTATAGAAGCGAATAATGCTAATACGGAACCATAACGTTGTATGCGCGACTTATTTTTACAATTCATCTCGTCGGGTATCACCCGAGGTTCAAAACCAAGGTTTTAGATAATCTTCGTTATTAAGTTAACATAAACTGAAGGTTAAGGACGGTAATAACTGTAATTTGCGATACAATTTTTAGAGCTGTAGCAACAAAATCGACATTCAACTTGAATTAAAAAGGTGATTTGTATGTTTTTATTATAATTATCATGTTCTACTTGAATTAGGAATATTCATGTATGCTAAGTTATCTGACGGTAAGGTTCAAGAGTTGGGTTGTAGCTAACACGTTGTTGAGAGGTCGAATCTTAGGGAAACACAGTACGTAGTACATAGTTGTTATAAGAAACATCAAAATATACACAAGTATAGGTATTGTTAATATCTATGTCTCTCAATACTTAAATGGTTTGCCTAGCCTTAAGAATGAGAGGTCCTGGATTCGAAACTTGGGGAAAGAATTATTTCTTCGGTCGAATAGGTAACAGAAGTCTGATCAATTATTTGCTGGTCAATGTCTGTATGATATCGATTAAAATACTGGAGTTAAAAAATTATGTTCGTTGCCATGCTACACGTGGAAAAACGGGGTTTTATATTTTCTTTCTTAACCTGAATTGTGTATTATGATTTTACACTCTTGTTCTCACTCTACAATCCAATTGTAGATTGAATTGATTGATTGTTCAAAACATTTTTAAATTCGAATATGTATTAAATAATTGGATAAATAGCTTAGCGTGATGCAAACTTTTTTTTTTACAGAGAAGACATGGAGAAGGTCCATATTAAGTTCCACGACAATGATACCGTAACATTCCAGCACAACAAAATACTGAGGTTCGTGCCAGAATTGTCTGTGGACAAATCGCAAAAGCTTGTTGTGCCCAATATACCTCTCTTGGTGAGTACCTTTCTTTTCTTCTTCTATTGCCCAATTCCTAACTTTAGCGATAAGGATTGTATACCACTAAAGATCTCAACCACGAATACTTATTTTAATTAGAGATTCTTTTGTTATTTCTATATTTTCTCATCACGCAATACTCCAAGCCTCTAAATTATTTCATTTTATTTTTTTACAATATCTATCAGCGGGCTTCTTGGTGTAATGGTAGCTAATGTATGGCTAATCAACGGATCTCGGGATCGATCCCCACCAGGTCCAAGATGTTTTAAATAAATTTACAATTTTTCTAAAACATGTTCGTCTAAAATTTATTAAATGAGTGGTAGGAATATCGAAATTCTACAGACAAAGCACCCCTTTTGATTTTCGAAAACCCAAAACCAAAATTTGTCGACTTGTTATATAATATCTATCCAATGGGTAGGGTATTTTACCTACCAACAAATGAACATGATGATTGTCTGTCTTTCTTTATATTTTTTTTATTAGATGCCATTTTCTAGTCTACGATTCGTCGAAATTATTATTATTATTTTATATAAGCCAAGAGATTATGTACCTATCTCTTCTTGAAGTTAATTTCACTTTATTTTTTCATCCCCAGACAGTAACGTCGTTCTCTCCAAACATGGCTTCGTTTGTCTTCAACTTGCTGGTGTCTGGACTATCTCTAACCTATCGAGACCGAGCCAAGCCATTTGTTCACGTTACTGCTGAGGAGCTGGTCTTTGGGTGAGTACTTTTTAATAATCAAATAAATGTGTGTTGTATTAAATAATATAGTATGATTAATTTGCCACTCTTTTGTTAATTTCACTTTACAATATTTGTTGTATTAGTTCACTGTATGAGTGAGTGTGTTCTGAATGTTTACCTGTATTTAATTTCAGATACAACGATCCACTAGTAACTCTGGCGCATTATTTCTATCCAAAAGGAAAACGTCCTAACAGTCAAATGGGTCTGTTACTTGCGGTAAGTGTACCACTATTTTCATAGAGCATCTTACAAGGACTATAAAGGGACCTACGCTCTTCATAATTTATATGTATACACAAGACGTAGTTTTACGTAGCTTTATTAAGAAGTTATGCTATAGAAAAATTATAGTATACTATTCTAAAACGCCGATGGCAAAATGTTCTTATTTACTTTGACCTATAAAATTGAAAAATTATATTAAAATCTAATCCATATTTTTTACAACAGAGAAGTAAAGGAGACATATAAGTATGTCCAAATCATATCCCATACTACTATTGTACTAGAATGTTATTTCTAGAGAAACGGCACCCTGTCTGAAGTGTCCACTATCTACGCTGGTCAAGACATGAAGAAATTCGGTTATTTGGACAAAATCAACGGTCTGGATCATCTGCCACACTGGAAGGATAAGCCTTGTAACAATATCAGGTTAGTATTTAAAAAGACCTTTGTTAAATGGTTAAGGGCAGTTAAGTGTGACGGGTCGTGAGTTAGATCTGCACCGGGTCTAAAGTTGATCTAATCAATTTAAAGCAAAAATAGGTTGACAGCACATCTTGTTTAGATGCTACATGGCGTACCATCACCTACCATCATGTGAACCCTATGTTTATCTGTCCTCCTCTGTCATAAAAAAAAATGTTTAATAATTACAATAATTTAAATCTCTTTAGTATCATAATTTGCCGCAGAGCACGGAAGTCTACCTTGCTTGCCTTTTTAATAAAACCGTTCAGTGAACATAAAAATGGGCCTCATCTAGGGAAAAGAGGATTTCATACGCGCAATAAAACATGGAATCGCTATAAAATAAATAAAAATATTTACAAAATGTAAAATCTTCAACTATTGGAATGTAATATATCAGGGGTCTAAGCTACATTTAGTCAAACAGACACTCCATGTATATTGTATACAGACAGGCAACTGTATGAGGTAAAACAAGTTTAGTGGTTCACAGTATTGTTAGAAAAATGACAAATGGTCCCCGATGACGATCTTCTTCATCTATTCTGGACCTGAACACCGTGCGGTTAATTATCTATGTTTCTGATGACGTCAAGTTGGCAGGTTTTCCCCGTGCTTAAGCATTAACTGATGTGAGATAGTGTCGTGTTAGATTTATGACGATAACACAGCAAGGTCAGGGTTCAGCTGTAAAGGACGAGAACCTCACAAGAAAATATTATATTTAAGACGTCATTTGTTTTCAGTGCGTTGTTTGAACTGCCTCGTTGGTTTTTTTTATCTTTATTTAACGGGCTTTAACCTTACTAGATTATGTCGCTCCATAGGATTTAAAATTTACTAACTAACAAACATGGATATTTTTAAAGTATGACTACTCTAAATCTACATAGTGGAATTAAAACATAAGGTTGGTGGCATGGCATCCTAGCCTCCCCCGAAAATGGAAAGGCTAAGACTATACTACTATACCACCCAACACTTTAAAAACGAATATATTTACTTAAAGTTAGTTAAGTGGTTTGCAGATAAAGACTGAGTAAAGTTAAATTGGCATTAGGAATTTCTCTACTAATCCCTTGGACCAAACCGGAGTTTTGACAGGAGATCTCAATCAACCCGAGAGTTTCTTAAACCGTTGATTATCATTAATAATTAAATGCGGTTAAAGTCTATTACCCACACTAGAACAACGTGGTGAGTCGACACTCGTGATATCCTCCTCTATGCCACCTGTTCCAAACGCGTCTACAACATCCACGAAATAAACACTAGAACATATTAGTGCTAATTATTGTAAACGCTTAAAAGCAAATGCTCTGAGGCCCAGGTCATAATTGAATTATTTCGCCGCTATAGTTTGAGTTTTAATGTGTTTAAAATTTGGTTTTAGATAACTACTTGTCCAGGTCGACTAGTTTTGTCTGCATAGGACAGCGTGTATGAATGTGTTTTTCTTAAGAAAAAGCGAAAAACGTTTTCTTTATTTTTCCTTTCCAAGTATTAAGAAGATCCGCCTTATCGAAGACAAATACGAAAAAATATTGAAGGAGGAAACGCGACTTCCGACATCGCCTTTTGTTTGTTTTCCTCGGCTTTATCGTCTTATTTGTTTAAGAAAACCACAGTTAATGAGTCAGCTTATACTTTACAGACCAAAGAATACCATTAACATATGTACTTATTAGCGTGTTTCCCTGCCCCCCAAATCAGTTATTAAATACAATAAGTGCAATAATTACAAGGTTTGAATCCCGGGAAAATTATTTTCTTCGGTCAGGGTATAGAAGTCTGAACTACTTTCTTGTAAATAAAATCAACACTGTCAAAAAGTGACAGAAATGTTTTCGCCCAATACCTCACAGCGCAAAATGAGACTTCACTTACTCCGGCCACACCTCGTTAGTTAAGAGTACTGGTACTGGTGCGAACACGGAGGAAACGTATTTATAGCATGGTGGCAAATCTGAATAAAAATACTACAATGGCGATGATTAGTTTACGGAATTAGAAATATGTGTAACTGATGTACAGCAACTTTTATTCATACTATAATAATAATACGACAGGCCAGTAAAAATATTATGTTTTTGTTATGGGTAATAGCGATGTTTGACAAGAATTTAAAAATTATAAGGCCGAATTCCTTACTCTTAACTCTATAGTAGTACCATATGACGAATACCTTAAAACATACCTACAGCAACCTAAAATCCTAAGCCAGAAACAAAACAAATAACTTGTTTTCCTGGAATAAGAAAAATATGAGTAATATTGTACATTAGAGAACAACGTCAAACGCTTGTTAAAAGTCCATTTAAGAGCTTACAAAGACATCTCCTGAGTTCTAAAATATATATAGATTGAGTACAAACATTAAATATCTATTTTTTTTTTGTTGTATTTCAAAACAAAAATATAATGGAAACGATTTGTCAAGACGTTAAAAAACATGTTAGTTATAATAAATATAAGGTATGTTACCTTATTTATATTAAAACTAGCTGTGTCAGTGACTGTTCGTCCGTGTAGAATGGATAAAATCATTATAAATTTAAATTGTTACACATGACATCGGTCGCGTCCCGTCGTTCTAGCAAGTCAATGTTAAAAGATAGACATATAGTATCGCGGACATATTTTTAAATAATTTTAAAAGGAATCATTGTTTCATACATATTTTTTAAGATACCACTTAAACCGTTCTCGCAGTATGAATAACTTTCCTCGTAATTTCCACATTTCCCTAAGGTTCAAACTCAAACTCAAAGGTTTCTCTTTAACCTTCCTCGATAAATGCTCTAACCAACATAAGAATATTTTTTTTTAATTTGAACCTGTAGTTCCTGAGATTAGCGCGTACAAACAAACAAACTCTTCAGCTTTATATATTGGTTGATTCCTACAATTTTTTCAACTTTACTTGTATATTCTAGGGTCTGATTAATTATAGTGACAATATTTACAACAAAATTAATACTACGTCACTTACGTTATATCTTGCCGCTTATCAAATAAATCTCAAAGGGTAAAATTCCGTGATGTTTACTCGAATTTATTATTTTCGACCAAAAAAGCCCACCTACGTCTGTAAAGGTCAATCACCTCACGTTTTGGATTCCAACCCGTCTTATTTATAAATAAATAATTTGTTATTCGGATATTTTGTTTAAAAAAATTTGAAAAGCTCATGTTTTTTTATTATTATGTTTAAAATATTTCTTAATAAACCATGACGTCATAGCAATCAATTTTATTTATAAAGCTGAAATTTTCAAAAGTAACTAATGAAATGGTAAACCAACAATAAATAGTGTCTGTAGTTTACGCGAGGAGTACACATTTAAATAAAACACTTTAACCGTTTAAAACGCGATATATATAAAACGTCGGGCCGTAGTTAAAATAATTTTCATTTAAGTTTAAATAATATACATCGTTATAAATAGTTAAAGTGTTTTATTTAGACTAGAAAAAAAATTTATTATATTATTTGTGTTTATATAGAATTATATTTTTATGTCTTCTGTTCTAGGGCTTCCGAAGGCTCCTTCTTCCCACCCCGAGCAGTCACAAACGAAGACATGGTCTACATTTACGACAAGGATCTCTGTCGAATTCTACCAATGAAATACCGAAAAGATGTATACAAAAATGGTAAGACAAACCGGTGGAAGAAATTAAAAAACAAACACCTTAATTGCACGTGCATAACGAAGAACAATACTTTTTCGCGTGTCCGAAATCGAACTCCTTACCTTATGTACAATAACTTAAACAATTTTCAAAATTATCTCATTACTTAATTAAGATATTTTTATTAAATTTGACTACCTCCGCAGCTCAATAGTTTAACCGTGCTATGTTGCTGCGAGGGTCCTGGGTCCGTTGATTATTTCCGGGTAACACACGTAATCGTTGGTTGGACGGGCTCCTTAGTGTCATGGTAGCAAAGTATGGCTAATAATGAACGGGTCCTGGGGTCGAACCCCACGGGGTCCAACATGTTTAAAATTTTTCAATTTATAATTTTTCTGAAATCTGAAAATCTTCGTCTGGAATTCTTGGTATTAATTGGGTGGTGGGAATATAGAAATTCCATCCAGGTCAATGAACCACCGTCCACAGAAGAAAAAGCCGTGAATTTAAATAAAACGCTTTAACGGTTTAAAACTGTGGATTTCCGAATATTAGTCAAACTTATTTGAAAATGATTTTTTAGATGCTTCGGCCCGACGTTTCCCCGACGTGTTTCCCCGTGACCACGCGCTGCTGACACTATAGCATCCGAAACGCTATCTGTAAAACGCCACAAAGTTTTCGCCCCAAACCCCACCCAAGAAAGAAGTATTCACTTCATTATAATTAATTATGCTTATTATATGAAAATATAAATATTATTTTATACTAATTGTCATTATACAACACTAATTAATCAGTGAAAGTGTTTCAAAAATGTTCTCAAGTCACTCAATTAAGTAATTAAAAGGATATGAGCCACTGCTGTTACTTAACTTTGAATGACTAATTGTAGATATATATAATAAACTAGCTGAGCCCGCGATTTCGTTCGCGTGGAATAGTGACTTGGGGTAGAATTTTTAGTTATTTAATTTGTTTATTAATTTATGTAATTGCGTATTTATCGCAGCCAATCTATGTTGTAAGTGACACTTTGCTGCAACACTCTCACCTCACACCTCCTACTCTGACTCCCATTCCCACCCCCACCCCCACTCCCAATCCTATTCTCAAAAAGCCAAAGAAGAAAATTTCAATGTTCCATCTTCAAAAACCACGAATTTCCATACAAACTTTCACCCCCCGCTTTTAAACCCTTACAACCCCCTTTTCGCAATAAAAAGTAGCCTATATTTCTTCTTGCGTGAAAGAGTAATAGACAGACAGACAGAGAGAGAGAGAAAGAAAATCTTTCTCTTCAGCACGAAGACCTGACTGCCTTTTTGGTTTATAATGAACGAAACACTGTGGTCGTCGATTCTAATCCCGCCCGTTTCATACGATTATATCAAAATATAAATTAATTTATCTTGCCTCAATACGCTTCCATTACTTTTTGGTATGATGTTAAAACAATAAATAAAATGTACGCGGATTTAAAACATTAAACGATGTTTAAAACAAGAAATGTATTATAGTCAAACTTTCTTACAACTTATTATGACTAGGCCCGACATTACAGATGGTTTGGAGCAGCCATGGTCTGTTGGAATCTGTTGGCAAGCATCTGAAACGTCGAGCCGTAAACATTTCGCGTTTGAATCCGTTAAGTGTTTTATTTAAATGTGTACTAATTACTCGAGTAAAGTAGAGACAATATTTTATATGCAGCATTATGTTTATTTCCAGGCATTAAAGTGGGGCTGTACACACCCCCCTGAGTCGACGTTGGAAAATGCAGATATCAACCCTGAAAATAAATGCTATTGCGGTGGAGATAAGTGCCCCAGACGGGGACTACAGAATATCAGTCCCTGTCAATACAGTGAGTAGCATTCGTAGTTAAAATTATCATTAATACTTCCAACCGGCTAAGTGCGTGTCGGACTGGGTCGTGAATGGTTTTTATTTACAAACGACCACTTTTTAAATAAGTTTTTAATGGAATATGCATTTTTGTCATGACTTCAATCGTCTAACACAGAGTTTCAGCTCCTTTCGGTTTAAAGAATATTTTTCTATAAAAATATATATTTAAGTATACATATTTACTCAATGAGACAATCCATTAATCACTGAGGCTGAAAGGGGAGGGAGGGGTTTGATAAAAATCACGAAAATAACACAAGGGGGAGGGGCGGTATAGTAAGATATCTCGTTATTATTTTTTCGTCAAACGCGCGATTTTTAAACAAATGGTGTAGAATTTTTATTATGGTCCTTAATTTAGAATAAAATAAGATTATAGTTTATACCTTATTTAAGATTTTATTTATAGAAAATTTTAAGGTTCTTTGTAGGTAATAAAAATACACGTGATGTTGAGAAGGGGAAGGGGGTGGTTTAAACCTCACTACTATCACCAATGGGGAGGGGTTTAAAAATTCTAAAAGAAGGTCACGTGATTAATGGACAACCCCTAATGATTTTAAACTTACAGAGAATTACAAGAAAAGTGAAATTCCGCTTCCTTGCGTGGGGCATGGGGCAAACACATTTGTCTTCGTTTCACTAATCAGTTTTTTTACAAGCAAGTAGTTGATCGGACTTCGGTGTCCCGCCCGACCCAGGACCTCTCGCGCTTAACGCAATGCAAGGCAACGCGTTTCACCATTTTACTACAGAGGCCGTCAAAAAGAATTACAAGGAATTCATTGACATGCAATTTGGGTCCAGAACCCTAAAAATGAACAGTTAATAGTTGCAGTTTCTTTAGAACTAAAAAAGCGATTAAATGCAGCACCCTAGAGTTTCTTACTACTCTCTTCTCCTCTGCAAGATCTACTCTGTTCTCTTCTAACAAAAACAGTAACCTCTAAAGGTGTGTAATTTTCTCCAGATGCACCCGTATACTTATCATACCCACACTTCTACGATGCTGATCCAACTCTTCTAGATCAGGTGGAAGGCCTTAAACCTGATAAGGAGAAGCACGAAAGCTACTTCATGATACAACCGGTAAGTTATTACTGGACTTTTTACAAAGGGATAATTATAAAAAATGAAAATAAATTAAACAATTTTCAACACCGGCATCGTCAGCGTCCCTTGCTGTTTCTCTACCAGCTAAGCTACCGAGTCCTACAACATCGTCGATATTTTTAAAGTTATTGATAAATGCACATTTTCGATTTTTTAATAGACGACAGTCTGAATTTCACGCGTAACACAAAATGGAAAACTTTAAACGGCATAAAACGTGATTTGTTACTTCATTTATTAATTCTTCGATCCGTTACCTTGGCTGCTGTATAAAAAGTATAATAGTCGTAAATAATAACACAACATTTAATGTCTTAATCTGTTTTTGTTATAAAATTTAGAAATTGTATTTACAATAACAGATCCTCAGTTTTCAAATATTGCCTTTCCTCCCCTTAGCATATTCCTTTTAGTTCTTCCCTTCACTTCAGGTTGGAAGAGATCGCTCTTTAGCGATAAGTCCACCTTTAGTTATAAGCTAGTTAAGTTTGTGTAACCCTAAAACGAATCCTGTGGTATTTATAATGAATAAAGTAAAATAAATAAGAAGAAATATTTCCATTCTTGTATTTATTTTGTTATAGATTATATAATGTCAATGTTTTTTATTGTAATACTTTTAAAAACGAGTTGTATTGTAGATTGTCAATAATTTGGTATAATAAAAGAGTTTGGCGACATAAAAGTTGATTTAATATTGTGTAGTTGTATTCATGGTATTATAAATTATCTGTAAATAAGACGTTGAAGTTTCCATTCCAGAAAATTGGCGTTCCCCTCGAAGGGCAAATCCGGGTGCAGCTGAACTTGAAGGTGGACCGCGCAGCCAACATCCGCGTGAACAACATACACAAATTCCCTGATATTGTCTTCCCTGTTATGTGGCTTCAAGAGGTAAATTTATTAACATACTATCTGTAGTTTACGCGAGTATTACACATTGAAATTTTGTTAAAGATATTCTTTTTTTGGCTATGTAAATAGATTTAAATAAATACGAAAACAGTTTAAAACGCGATATATATAAGTTAAACTCATTTTAAACGAGCCGAATAATTTTCAAATAAGTTTAGCTGATATATATCGCGTTTTAAACCGTTAAAGTGGTTTATTTAAATCTAATAAAAAATCAAACCAGTCAATGAATAAAGAGAAGTTGATGACCTGTTGCATTATACTATATTGTATAAGAATCCTCTTTTTCTTTGATAGAGGAGGGGCAACACAAATATGCGCAGCTAACTCTGTTTTCTTGTTGGTTTTTATTACCACCAATTTAATATCCAGATTTCCAGACGAAGTCCAACATGACTCAGAAAAAATATAAATTTATTAGAAACATGTCTTGCAAGTGAAACTTCCAGACAAACTGTCACTGAGTATAAGCATGCATTTAGACTTAGTTATATCTTTGATAAATAGAATTGTTTTGATAGTTTATAAGCACTATTGTTTTGTTAGTGTTTATCATAAGGGACAGCTCTGTATAGTTTTCTTAATAAATAAACCCAATTTAATTTCCAGGGTATCGAAGACGTAACAACACCGATATGGCGTCTTATATACCTGGCTACAGCTTTCGGTCCCATCGCCGCTCCAGTCATATCCTACTCGCTCATCGTAGCAGGCATTCTCCTCATCATTTACGTCTTCATCAAGGCGTACAAGAAGTTCGTGCTGGGGCAAAATTCCATTGAGATCGTAGAGCTGGGGCGGGAGACCCTTCGCCGCGGTTCCACTTTGATCATCAACGGTTCCCATAAGCTGCTGAACCACAAGGAGGCGTCGTACCAACCCTTGAGGAAGTCCACCTCATCATCGAGCCGGGAGGACGGCGTGCAGGAGTTAAACTTCATAGATAAAACGGAAAGTCTGAGCCGGAGCTTGGATGAGCTGAAGAGTATACTAAACAGAGATTTCGTGAAGAGTAACTTCAGTGAAATGGAAAGAGAGTCACTGATACACGCGGATAATTCGTTTATTCTATCTGAGCACAGGCGATATAGTGTTTTCAAGGTACCAGAGAGTTTGAAGTGAGTCGTTTTGCCGTTATTCCACTGGTTTTAAAGCATTCAAGAGCTTACTTAATACGCCGTCAATGTAATCATACATATATATAAGAAATATAGATTTTTGGCATTCGCTTTTACCGTAACGTAAGTTGTACTTATTTTGTATAATCTACATACAAATTAAAAAGCAATAATAAGTTGAGAAAATTTAACAACACGGGCAGGTCTTCGGCATCCAGAGCGTTCTGTGCTGTTCCTCTAACCAATTGAGCGGCTCTTAAATCCTCTTAAAACCTGAAATACATATTTGCCGTAGATCTTTCTTTGTAATGTAAGATAAAATATCCTTGTCTATGCTTAGGTGTTGCCATACGTAAGCGCTGTAAAATGTTTGGAACCAGTGAATTCAATAAAAACGGCTTCTATAGTGGAGACCCTCACTGACTGAAAAAGATTCCAATTTTACTGGAATCGTGTAGTTTTAATGTAGCTTGCTCAAGTTAATCTGGCCTTATGTAGATTAAGAAATCCAAGATATTTCCAAAATGATGCAGGGCCTTTCATATCGATTTTACGACTATATTTTAATTGTTCGTTTATATGTGGGCCTATAATTTTATAACATGACAATAAAACATATTATGTACAAAATGGCTACTGTCAGAGTTTGAATTTTAGCAGTTGCTCGCTGAAAAATGGTTTCAAATCATTACAATACTAATAATAATTCATACTCTGACACTAATCTTAGCAATAATACCAGAATTTCCTGTGATGTTACCAGAGTTGAAGAGAAACAAATTTAGTTTTTATGGCATAGATATTATACTAGTCCTATACATATTTAAGTATTGTGGAAACACTGCAGGGAACTACCGTGGTGCAACGGATTTTCACTAATTGTAAGTCGAAAACTTGCCTACACTGCTAAACAGTATTGCCACAATATTCTTCACTTGTTTCACAATTCACAAATCCAGCGTTCGTGATAATTATCTGTGCATTTTGCTGATGACATCCGTGACGTCACACGCTTTATCTAAAAATGTCAAAGTAACAAAATGGCGGCCATCAATATATTCATACACGAAAGTATGCGATCTGTCTGAAGCAGAAATCTATTGCAGTGTTACCAACGATAAAAATTTGGTGATGGATGACTAGTTTATTTTATGATTGTGCCCAAGGTATACGGGGAGGTTTAAACGCAATTTGTACTTAATACAAAATGATTGATCGATTTTAATGGGATAAGAACAAATTAATCTACGCAATTCAATTGCCATTACTTGTTACCATAAATAAAATCTATTTATATAGGTCTTGGGACGATGTACTGTTAATATTTCATATTTTGATACATTTTAATATATAATGAATACAAATAATTATGTTACCCAGTTTATATACATAGGAATAAATATTTTTGTAAGAATTTTGTAATGTCTTCCGCTTATGTCTTCCGAATTTACAGAGAGTAAATTTTAAATGAGCGATGTTTCTTTTAAAAGTTATCTATTGTAATAAGAATTTTATCATTTCAACCTCAATATAATTTAAGCGGAAAGGAAGTTCTGCTGTTTTGTCTCTGCCACGCAGTTGTCATTCAGCTTCGATTGAAAGAGACAAAGCTTATAGAAATATAATAGAGACTTCTAAAACGATATTTGCTGATTCTTTAGGAATAAACTGTCACAAAAAATTGCTCAAAATCATGTTATGAATGTGTGTGTGTTCTTCATTGTATTATTTTGATAAGCGCAAAATAATAGAGCTCAATTTTGTTAAGCTTTAAAGCCGAAGACTTAGTACCAATAATACATTCCATTATGTACTCTAAAGCATGGGTGTAAGGACTATTATTGTAAATAATTCTATATACTTTTGTATTCAATACCTTGTTTATAATAAAATTTTATGAAATAGATAACCTTCTTTACGTTAACTTAAGCTGTATATATTGGAAAAACTAAATGTTTTATTCCCAAATCAAATTTTTTCTTAGTAATAAAACCTCGCCGTTTTGGAGTGATTAAAAAAACAAAGTAGGCATGCGAAAACGATTATATTTTCAGCGAACTGTACAGTATTTAATGTATAAGTTGTCGATTGTGGCCTTATACCTCTCTAATGGACCAAATTATTGACTCAAATTATGTACTGTCTAAATACATAAAATTTAAAATGCCTCTACAATCAAATGTAACAGACCAACATCGACAAACCTTACATTTTCGGCATTTCATAGATGTACAAAAGTACGTAGCGTTATTGACTAGTAAAACATTATGCGATATTTATACATTAATCAACTTTCGCTCTGGCAACACTATAGACAATAGACTATAGACCGCTCTAAATGACTTGCATTACATTTTGTCTATAGTATACAGAGCTTTATCTCGGTTCACTAAACTGAAACAACTCAAACGTATCAAAGGGACACAGACGAACACAATTAAATTAATTATGAAGTTACAAGTTTTAATTAGATAAAAATAAAGTATCATTAATTTGATTATTTTCTAAGAACACATCTTTCAAAGTATATCCTGAGTCGCTTTAAATGAATTATTAATACATTTAAAATTCATTAATAATTTTAAACTTGTTACAGTTTCACTTATAGATCATGACGGCTTTATATAAATGAAAGATCTATTTAGATGGAAAAACATTTACGACACGATCGGTCTTGAACCGGTATCTTTTTTTTTTAAACACAAGGATAGACAAGCACGGGGTCAACTTGATGGCAGGTAAAATACCACAGCCATATAATATCATCTAAGCAAGATCTAGCAAAAGCGCTATCGACCTGTTTTGGCTTAAGATATTCACACAGCTGTCTATAGCGTTCCGTGCTGTTGCAGTGTAGTTATTTCGAGCGAGACAAGCCAGATACTAGCGAGTTGTTTTAGTTTAGTAACCGCTTCGTATTTCAAATTTCTAAACAAGCTTTACACCTACAGTATACTAGATCGGACTTTTCTTAGAATAGAACATTATTTACGGATTAAAATAGTTTAAAAATACATTTTTTATATCTATAACTATAGATAATAGGTACAATTATTGAATTAAAAGTTTATAAAAATCTTATCTCACATTTCATTACGTATATCCGTTTTATCGTATAACAGAGGGCGAATTCTACAAAAACTCTGAAAAAAAAAGGCTATACAAAGCTTAAAGAGATAGCACTAATTGCGCCTGTAATGCATAGAAATTATTAATATCGTATACTGATTGTTTGTCGCGATAACCTCCATACAAATCCGTCGACCAATAAGCGTAGACTTAAGTTGAAGTTTAATAAAGAAATGACGAATACATTTAAGATGGCACCGAATATTTTTATGTACACACACCTTCTATACTTAAAACAGCTTGTGAACAGTGTGTACACACCCTAACGTGTAAAGAACCTATAGAAGTCAAAAGAACACTACTCGCTAGCAAAATATTCTCATTCTTCACAGCGTAACTTATCACGATTCCAAACAGATTCTACCACAATGTAAAATTAGACCGTTTAAATATCAATTAACAAAATATCTCTTCTTACGCTAATTTTAATTTAAAATAATGGAAGATCGAAGCGTTCACGTTGAAAAAAGTGAAAAATTATGAAACAATTCGCAATGTACACTTTCTCTGTGGCCAGTTAAAACGTATTGCTTATTCATAAAACCACAGATTAACCACTAATTTATCTCCGAGGCCTTATTCGTTAATTTTTAATTACACCTACAATACTTTACAGCAATCGATGATAAATCGATCGCCTATCGAATACTGTCATGACTTTGAAAATTTAATACTAAATTTAAAATTTTGTCGATATCGTAATATAACGTATACAGTTTTAATCGAATAACTTTTGGGTATACATTATTTGCTTTTCGTATATTAAAATCGTATAATATGTTGTTTTATGATCTAATAACCTAATATGGCTGTTTGGTAAATTAAGAAAGAGATGAGTATATTAAAACTTATTTGTACAAATAAATACGATTTGTCTATGGACGGTATTGTCTAGTTCTGTGGTAAAAAATATTCTTAATCTATTACATTCCTTTTTTCAGTCGAAATTGTGGAAGAAAACTAAAACTATTTTATTCACAACCGGCGTAAAAATTGACGACACATGATACAAAGCATGATTAAATCAACGCGTTAAAAACACTGGATAATGACATTTATGGCAACACCAGATCTGCGCACAGATAATAATCAATATAATATTAGACTTATTTTTCCCTTTGCAGCGAGTTTTATGACGAAATTATTAGCGTTACTAAAATGTTAAACAATTTAAATACTTTTAGTTTATTACATATATATGACTTTGTGTATAGACCTGATGTCACCTCGAACATATATTTTAACATGTATTGTAGTTAAATGGGCATCAAGTATCGCTGCCTCTATGATAGAGAAGGACAGACAAACGTGGCGTTTACTTGATATCCGATAAAATAGCCCAGCCATATAACATATAACCAAGATGCGTTATCGACCTATTCTAGCTTTGGGTATTCAGAACAACGAAGAACGCTATTTATTTTCAAATTCAGGGGACTGATTTATTGTAATATAAAGCTACCAGTATCTTTATATTTTTTAGTAATCAACCTAAGTTGTATTAAGTATGCAAAACATTTAAAGCTTCTTGGATATTTTGAGCTGTTCGGCCGTCGTATTAGAGAAATTGAATTTTCGACGTTTCTTCATCACATAGATGACTTCGCGACTGAGCTAAAATTTTCGCTCTCACAGAACAATTGGCAAACCAGCGGCCAGTACCTTACAGCGATCAGATAAGTGTTATATATAATAAAATCTGCTCTTTTTTTATTGTATACCACTTATCTTACTAGATATTCATTTTCGCATATTAAATTTATCGTTAGACTAGCTGTGTCAGAGACTTTGCACTTAATACCTCAAGTTTATCAAACCCCTTATATGATTTAAAAATCGAAAATAAATTGAAAACAATTTTCGACTCGGGCAGGACTTGAACCGGCATCGTCAGCGAACTCGGGCAGGTTCAAGTTCTGCCCCGAAGTCGAATTTTTTTCAATTTATTTTCGATTTTTAAATTATATAGTACCTTCATGTGCAAAAATAATAAAGTTTTCAAACCCTTTATGATTGGTTACTGGTCGTGAAATTTTTTAGTCTGATACAGTCCCTATACAAATTTAGCCATTGTTCTTTGAGATGTTATATGTTATAGAGAGTGTGTCGTTATGAAGGGTCGTTATAAAGAGAGTGCACTATGTTGCGCATATTTAAGTAAGAAAAACAATATAAAATGCCCATTTAACACCGAAACGAATATAACGATAGATATATGAATAATACAAAAATATTAAAATAGTGAGGTATGCCGTACGTATACAAGGTTCTACTTACATCTATGGTATACAAATTGTCTTTTTTATGACGAAGCTGTCATTTTTGCCCTGGAAAGATATTGTTTTATTAATTCTTCAATTTATATTCAGCAGCAGGTCAGTTTATTGCACACAGTGTAAAGACGCGAGTTCCGATCCCCGGGGAAACAAATTGTTACATTACGAAACAGATTTGAACAGTAAGACACAGAATTGTGTCTACCTCGTCTAGGACGCCCCCAGAGATTTAACACACACACAAACAGCTTTTGACATGTCTTAAAAGGTGTGCGATCCCGACACATCATTCCCATCATGGGGAAACAGACATTTTAAACAAACGTATTGTCTGTGGTTAACACACAAAACACATTTGAATAAAACGCTTTGAAAGGTTTAAAACATGAAATGTATATAGTTTACTTATTCTAATTAAAACCCTACGTTCTGGATTCTTTTCGGATCGTAGTTACATTTAGCCACCTTATATTTGGCGTTTCAAACCGTTATTACATTTTATTCAAATTGTACACACGTAAAAATGCCACGAGTGAGAATAAAGAAGTTACCTTAGTGCATGGTCTGCTGAATAGGAGGGTAGTTATGTTCGCTGGGCTGCTCGGCCGTCGATTCCTGCTCATCACCAGACTGTTCACCTTCCTGCTCTTCATCCTCGGATGATGAGAGGAGACCTGCAAAATGGGCCAAAATAGATATGTAAGTGTTGGGCTTTTGGTAAGTAGCAAAGGTTCGCATACCGTAAAAGGTTTTATACACTGAACGGGCCCCAGAGAACGACAATTTTTGGGCAATAATAAGCAAAATTATAACACAGGAAATCTAAACGTTGAACTTAGTAGGGTAGGAAGTATTGTCCAGCATTGCGTTAAGCGAGAGGTCTTGGGTTCATTTTCCGAGAAATTCGAGAATAGTTCGTTCTTTCGCAGCAGACAACTGGTTAACTACTTATCAGTAAATAGAATCGAATGGAGACATGTTTACACCCCGTGCCCCACGTATAAGATAACACACAGGTCAATAATATTATCAAATGTTCACAATTTTGTGCCTTCTACTTTAGTTTTTTATGATAAAGGACTCATGGGGCACATGGTAGGCGAAAAACCAGCCATATTGAAAGATATGCCGCGACCTGGATATTGGCATTTGGATATTCGATATCCAAGACTGTAACCGAAACGCGATTAAACTTACGGCTTGTCAGTGGTTCGTAAACCGGACGGAATTTTCGTAATACATCAAAATCCAATATCTAAACGAAGTCCACATGTTTTCTAAGTTAATTAGAAAAAATTACCCGACCCACGTTGATTAACCATCTTTGTACCATTACTTTTAAATTATACTACCATCGAGCCCGTTAAATACTTTCTACTTTTAAATACAAATTTAACGGTTTAAAAGTGATATATTAGTTAAACTTATTTGAAAATGATTTTTAACTTCGGGAGACCCGTGACCTAAAGCATCGAAACGTCGGGCCGAAGTTAAAAATCATTTCTCAAATAAGTTTAACTATAATATATCGCGTTTTAAACCGTTAAAATGTTTTATTTAAATGTGTACTACTCGCGTAAACTATAGACAGTATTTATTTTCTACTTATTTCCTTATATGGGTATAACATACCGGCAGTAAACTGTGGATTCGTGAGCGCATCCGGCCAATACCTCTTGCTTATCGATGATCCGTTTTTGCTTTTCTTTCCACCTGAAAGAGAAATATTTTTATATTATAACTAACAATACTTGGAATGAACGGAATGATGCTTATATTATACTAGCTGTGCCCGCGATTTCGTCCGCTATGAATATTTATTTTGGTCATCGAAATTCGTTCGAACTTAAGTTGATACCAACGGCGTCGGTCGCGCCCCTTCCCGTCGTTCTTACAAGTTAATCTTAGAAGATAGACATGTAGCGACGCGGAGATCATTAAAAAGAGGGAATAATTCTTTCCTACATATTTTTTGGGTATATTGAACGATTTTCGCAGCGTACGCATCGGAAAAACACAGAGATGAAAATTTTCCCCCGTTTTGTTCACATTTCCCGCTGTATCTTTGCTCCAATTAGTCACAGCGCGATGTTTTATAGCCTATAGACTTCTTCGTTTAATGTTCTAGCTAACACATTACAAAATAATTCTTCACTTTGAACCAGTAGTTCCAGAGATTACCGCGTTCAAACAAACAAACTCTTCAGCTTTATATATTAGTATTAGAATAGATATTAACATCAAATTAATTCTCTGATAATATATTTTTTTTGATAAAAAACACACAAGCATGGAGTTCATTTGAGAACGAGAAAAATAATGTGTTGGCGGCCTATTTTGGGTTAAGTTATTCGGGAAAGCGCAGACTGAGAACCTAACACAAATTAACCTTCCTGGCTTTACCATATTTGAACGCATTAAAATATTTCATTAAATAAGATGTAAAAAAATTAAATTTATTGAATAACATTAAGAAAGAAAGCCTACACAAATAAACATTCTTTAAAATTTAACCATATAGTAATAGCCCGTCAAAAATAGGTTTTTTCTTTCATATATTTTCAGACATTTCTGGACTAAACTTCCAAAGAGCGTACGCATAGGACATCCACACATAATACTCACCAGGCTTATCCGAACAGTCCAGCATAGGCTGTAGAATGCGGCGTCTTGCGTTGATAAACCAATTGTTAACTTGTAACAATGTTAATCTTGTTTGAGCTGCTAAAGTACGTTTCTCTTCCTCCGTTGGGTAGGGGTGCTGAAAATTTCAATATATATATTAAGAAAAAGGACATTTTACAGACATACATACGAAACACATCTGTACTAATATTTTAAACTGAAGAGCTTGTTTGTTTGAATGCGCCAATTTCAGAAACTACTGGTTCGAATTCAAAAATTATTTTTGTGTTTTATTTATCTAGGGAGGCTGTAAAATAATATAGGCTATAAAATATCGCACGGTGACATATAGGAACGAAGAAACAGCGGACTACGGAAAATGTGGAAAAAACGGGGAATATTATTCATGTTTGAGGTTTTCCGTTGCGTGAGCTTCCAAAACGGTTCAAGATACCCAAAAAATATGTAGGAAATAATAAAGTAATTCCTCATTAAATGATCTAAAGAAATGTCCGCGACAGTATACGTCCATCTTTTAAGATAAACTTGCAGGAACGACGGAATGCAGTAAATGGCTATAATTTAAAAAGATTTGCAATACCAAATTTTGACACGCTTTTGTTGTTTATGCATATACATTTCGTGAGTTTTTTTTCCACAAAAATCGAAGCCGGACCCCCTTCCTTAATGCTATGTCATCAATGTCCCAAACCACTTTATATTTTCCTCGTATTCCAATCCTGGACAGAGCTAAGCTCCAGAAGCCTACAAAGATGACATTGCGTTAAATGAGATCGAAACATAACAATTTCGATCGTGCAGGAATCAAAACAATCACATACTTGCTCGTAAATAAAATCCATCAGTGAAACAGATTCAAAAATGTGTCTGGCTTTACAAATCCAACTAAGTCCAACTAAGTCGTCGATCTTACCACTAGATGTTGAAAGAGCCACGCGCGCATCACTTGCGTCGCGTGTCTTGGTAAAACACCCCTCTTTCCTCCCTCCTCTCCGTCATCATCCGGGGGCGGAGACCCTGATACCGATGAACAGGAATTGTTGGAATTTGCACCTGGAAATTATAGTTATGTCTTTGAAGAAAACTACAAGACGAACATAATTAAACTCTATTTTTAGTGGTCAGATATTAAGTAATTAAATTATTGAGAAAATAATATATGAACAACAACACGGAACGCTGTGGTTACCGGGTGTCGCAGTTTAGTTGTTCATACAAAAAAACATATTGAAGTGTTTAAACATAAAACTAACTTTGCCATAGTTACAATGAAGGAAGATCATTATTTGACGTACGTGAAATAAGTTAACAGAAAAACAACATCCCAGCCTAAATAGAATATAACATAAACATTAAAAGTGTGTGTAATGTCGGTAGATTGGTAGTTAGTTCTTATTTAGTGTTAGTTTGTAGGTAGCTGTAACTTGTATGTAATAAACTGTTGTTCTATGGATCCCGCGTTTAATTGACGTATCAGTGTATATATTTTTTTAATAAATAAATCACTTTAAAGGTTTAAAATGCGAAATATATTAGTTGAACTTATTTGAGAATTATTTTAACGGCCCGATGTTTCGGATGGTTTAACAGCAGTCGTAGTCACGGAGGAACTAAAGATGGAGGATGTCTCTATTGTCAAAGTTAAAATTTCTACACTAGCGCCATCTGTTGCGTAAAAATATTTTTTAACTAATATATTTCGGTGTTTTAAAGTAATTTAGTCAAATGTATACTACTCGCGTAAACTACAGACAGTATTTGATATTAATATAATTAAATGCACAGGATCGAAGACTATAAAAAGAAACTCACTGTTAAAAGATCTAAATTTACCGGTAAACGAGTCAGTTGTCAGCAAGCCAGCGCCGATTTGACTGATCGGCGTCGATCCTTGGACTACGAGCGATGCTGGAATAATAAGACAACAATTTTTAAATAGTATTTCCTTTTCCATCTATAATAAATATATTGAAAACAATATTAAGTGTTTTGCTGGGAAATCTTAAATCTAGAACAAACGAATCTAGACATATTCTGGCACAGATGAAAAAGTAGCGTTTAAACGCATTTCGATCTCAGTCTGTGGATTTCCAAATATCCAAAGCCAAAAAAGAAGCATACCATTGTCTTTCGGGCCGTTCGGCCGATGTGAGCGAGAAGAGGTTCTCGACGTTTCGCCATCACGTGTGGAACAGCCCGAAAGACAATGATATGCTGAACGATGGCCGTGAAAGCCTTACACAATTTACCAAAAAAAAAAAGGTTGACAGCGCATCTGGATTTTTATCTTTAGATATTCAAGAATCCACAGACTGAAACCCAAACGCAATTAAACTTCATCTGTAGACAGTGAGTCGAGACCCGGACGGAATATCGATATTCCTACCACCCATTTGATAGATTCCTACCACCCAGATTTCCAGATATTTCAGAAAAATTATTAATTAGAAAAAATTTGGACCCGGTGGGATAAAAACCCACGACCCATTGATCTGTACATTGCTACACTAACGAGCCCGTCAACCTATCTATGCTCCGCTCTCATAAAATAAAGTACTAATATCCTTGTATATGTATGTATAATTATATATAATAATTTGTTGACTTACGAGGGTCTCTATGCGGTGGAAAGGGCAGCTCCGTATGGGGTGGTGGATAAACCGGGTACACCGGGGCTGGTAACGGTGCAGCGGGGGGCGACTGGAAACATACATACATATCATCTAAATACAGTGGAAACAAACAAAATTATATTTAAGTAAACATATATAACATACCATAAGAATAAGAAACATATATTTCTTTTTGTATAGCAAATATAATTTAATAAAACTGCTGCTCAGATTATGCAGTATAAGATTATTTATATGTTTTTTCCCATTATGACAACTCTCGCTTGACCAAAAAATGAATATCGAAAAAATCAGAAAAAAAAACATTTTTTTTTTTTTGTTTTGAATTACTGTCTCCATAGTTTCGTAGATAATGCAAAATTGGGTATACAATTATTACAATTTTCAAATATACATTTCGTAAAGATTTTCTTTATATTTACAGAAGGTATTGTAAAAAAAATAAGTTCATACATACCGTCGTATCATTTTACAGAAATATTTTTGGCCTAAATATTACCTTACCTGATATTGTGGGGAGTTGGATGTGCTGGAATGATCATCCATTGTGCCAGATAAGTTGTTATTGCTTTCAACACCACCTGAAAGGAAAAAAAAAACTAAACTAATCTTATAAAGCCGAAGAGTTTATTTGTTTGAACGCGACAATCTCAGGAACTGTTGATTTGAATAATATTTTTTTGTGGTAATTTGTATTTCTATTAATAAATATTTACTATCGAATTTTAATCGCGTTTGTGAATTACTGGTTAAAGCCTAGCATTGCGTCCCGGCTTCGAATCCTGGGACAAAAAAAAATAGACGCACGTAACGGTACAATATATAAACGTAGAAATACGATCGGTTAGATAAAATCGAAATTAAATTAAAAAACATTTTCGAATCTTTTCAACTTATTTTCGATATTTATTCTATATAGTGCAATAACATGTGAAAAATATTAATTTTAATACATTCGGTTAAATAAAATTCGGACAACCCGATTAAAATTTTTGCTTGAGCATAAAAAAAATTGCTTTAAACAGACACAGAAATGTTTGCTGCTTGCCTCATATAAGCGAGACGAAAATTCACGCTTTTAATCAATTAAATAATTATACTTTTATTTCCTATTTGATCGTATTAAGGACATTACGCCACTATCGATGTAAATTAATTTAATTACACCTTAATTGCAATCCAATTAAAGTGCTAATCAATAATTAACATAATCGACATCAATTAACGTTAAACATGGTGAAAATAAAGGAAATCCGGAATTAGATAAATGTCGACGAATACACTGCATATAATAAAAATAAGTCTCACATGACTATATCTAATTTTAAATTCAATAACACGAGTGGGTTTAAAACCACGAAATTTATGAAACATATCTTTAACTACAACCCGTTAATTCGTGTATTGGTAGCAATATTTGGCTTGTAATCCTTTATATTTTTTTCTGTAAAATTTTGTATCTGTATTTAATGGGTGGCAGGAATATCCAAATACCGTCCGGTTATCCAACCAAAATTCACTACATATATTACTTAAACCTATTTTAACTATGGCCCGACGTTTGACGTGACGTGATGACCACGTTGCATAAGTCATATATTTCGCGTTTTAAACCGCAAGTGTTTTATTTAAATGTGACCTTCGTAAGTTATAGACAGTGTTATACATTTTTAATTGTTTAAATCGCGGCATATCTTACGTAGTTCACTAATAAGTATAACAAACCTGCCGAGTAATCGGTCCGCAGCAGATTCTCACTTTGCATCTTGGTTTTGAGACACGCTATGTATCTACCGCAGAAGTCTCGACACAGCTCCTGAACCTTTTCCAACTCCAGCAGGTGGATTCTTAGCACCTGGAAGTAGAGCATATTTCCCTTATGCAAAGCCAAAATAGGTCGACAGCGTGTTGATGTTATATGGCTGGGGTTTTCCACCTCCCCTCCAGTGAGCCATATGCTTGCCTGTCGTCGGTGAGAGCAATTAATTTTTCTATATATGGTATTCGGCCGAAAAACGAATTTAACCGAATTTTCGTTCCAAGCATAATATTTACTCTACGTGGACATGTATAGTTACAAAGTTCCTATTGCTAGTAATTATCTATCATGGTCTATTAACCTGGATGCTCTTAATCATCAGTCCATCGATCTCCGGATCATCAACGAGGAACGGGCGCCTATCCCGCCTCTGATGCTGCACGAACGCCTGGAGGTCTGCACCGAAGGCGTCCGCCGCGGGGGGCTCTGCCCCAGCCGTGGCTTGCTCGCATCTCTCCAATAATAACGCTAAGAGAGGAAATAGGGGGTGTCTGGAAGAAGAAATGACAGTTTAATTGGCTTTTAAACGTTTCGTATCCAAAGGGTTAAGTTCTTGCTATGTACGTCTATTAATTAATGGACCGTAATTGTTAATCTGCTGAAATTTGGATTAATATCTGCAAAGCCTCACTTGTAGACAGCGCGCTTATCAGCCTCAAACTGGGCTTGTTCGGCATCCGAAGCGGGCGCGCCGCCCTGCATCCCGGACTGCTTATCCTCGCCACCGCATCTATGAACAGAACGCGAAGATCAGCTAGGAGTTGAGAGAAAACGATAGGGCTGGCTTCAATTAGGTAGGGGAATGTAGGAGGTTTTACTTTATTTCGCTACAATCTTACTATTTATATAAGTAACATAGGATATGCTGAGAAAGGGGAGATAGGGGAACCTATCGTCGCGAGCTGGTTAACGACTACGAAATATCACATAATAGAAAATAAAAATAATAATCAATAAATATCCGATTTAGCATATTCTTATTTCTAATAGGAAAAGGGTTTAAAATAACCCACCTTTTCTAGTGGGGGGGTTACGGGCTTTCCAGCGATACTCAATAACTTACTGGTATTTTAAGTTCTAGCCGAAATTGCTTGATAGATTTTTTAAATGCAAAACAAAGCCAATTGTTAAATACTGTCTATAGTTTACGCGAGTAGTACACATTTAAATAAAACACTTTAACGGTTTACACGCGATATATTAGTTAAACTTATTTGAAAATGATAGTCTCCCCGTGACCACGGCTGCTGCAAAGCATCCGAAACGTCGGGCCGAAGTTAAAAATCATTTTCTAATAAGTTTAACTAATATATCGCGTTTTAAACCGTTAAAGTGTTTTATTTAAAACCAGTTGTTATTAATATTTCGTGAAAATAAAAGTAACAATAGTACAAGAATAAAAAAAAGGTATTTTACACTCGGACTTCCGTAAGTACCGTATCGTCGGTGTACCACTCAAAATAATTATCATTCTTGTGTTAAAATAGTTTTCCAATTTGTTTTACACTCGAATAGATTAAAATGCTTATTAAACATTTAGTTTGTTTATTGAAATACCTATCGTCATTTAAAACATTTGTTATGCTATTGCTCATAGCTTTAAGTAAATTTAAAACATGGACGGGAACCGAACCTGCTCTATTTATGGAACATCAGCATGGTCCACCATAGTCGTCCTTACCTATAGATATTATAAAGACAGCAACCCCCAAAAGTAAACATTGCACTTGGCGAGGGCAATAAAAAATCATATTAAAACCGCGGGAACAACATTCATCACAAGTGTTGCCAGTAAATTGATATAAGATACGCCTGCACTGTAGTTTACCCTATTTTGAAGATGTTAGGGAAACGCTGCGTTGTTTCCTTGCTATATTTGTTACGTTATAATTACGAAATGGCTAATGACGAATAAAGATGTAGAATAATAAGATAGCACTGAATATGTAATGGTAAAAAAAAATAATTTAAATACATACATAAATATCGTAAGGTCATAGTCAAAATTCAATATTAAAACTTTTTCTTTAACCGTTATAAGTTTCTATGTATTTAAATAAAACACTTAACGGTTTAAAACGCGATATATTAGTTAAACTTATTTGGAAATGATTTTGAACTAATATATCGCGTTTTAAACCGTTAGTGTTTTATTTAAATGTGTGCTACTCGCGTAAACTATAGACAGTATTCTATTTATTTGTTTAAAAGCGCGAAATGGAAATTAAACACATCTAGAGATAGCTTAAAAAGACTCATAAATATACCAAATATATATAATTTGTACAAAGCCTAAGCTCTTTATTAGATAAGTAACTAGACTATTTAATAAGTATCGACTTATATTTTAATGCTTTGCCAGACAGAGATTTGTCGAGGTCGAAAGTTATTTACCAAAACTAGACTGGCCAAGAAACTGGTTTATCCTAGAATCAAGGGTTTCACGTTATACCTACTTTGTCATTTGCCAATACACATTTGGCCAGCGTGGTAAACAACTGTCAACAACAACAAGTAGAAAACAACTTGATAATTAAAGGTTATTTATATTTGGCCCTTATACAGAACCTTCTCGTCCGACTCACACTTGACCAATTGGATCTATATTAATATAATATAAAATAATAATAATAAAGCTGAAGACTATGTTTCTTCGCCGTAATCTCAGGAAGTACTAGTCAGTTTTTTTTTGTGTGGGTTAGACCATAATTATGGAGGAAGGCTTTAGACTATAAAACACCAGGCTGGGACCAATAGGAGCGTAGAAACAGTAGGCAATGAAAAAAATGATATTAAAGAATGCAGACATTTTTTAGATTGTTTAAAGTGAAACTTTAAACAATCTATAAAATGTCCTGCGACAATATAATTTGTCTATTTTTTAGATTAATTTGTAAGAACGACAAGTTCAGAAAGACGACGTAGTGAGTACTATAATTTAAAAAACAAACTTTGCCAAAATAACTATTCTACGCAGACGAAGTCGCGGCCATAGCTAGTAAATTAATATGGCCTTCTCTTAAATATCAAAGTATTAACGCGCTTTCATTTGAACTAAATAGTCGGTGCCTCTAGCTAAAATTATGTATTAGCAACACCTTGTACACAATTAAATTTCGTATTTTTTGTGTCAGGCAACTTTCTTCCCCGAGGCCATTGAAGATGTTATCTTAAATAATATTTCGAAATCAATTTTGGAGTTACCTACCCACGCATTTTGGGTCGCAAGTTTAATATCTTAGAATATTTCATCGGCCATTTTAAAAGTTATAAATTATTTATATATTTTTTGCGCGATATACACACAAACAATCAAGTGATTGGAAATATAGCTTATTGAACAAATTAGACTGGAAGCTTAACATCAATTTTAGAAGAATATATATTTTAAAAATACCTAAAAAAATACGTACAAATTTAAATAAGAACTTTTTTTATAAAACCTCTCCGGTGTGTCAAGTTTTCAGCCAGCATTGCGTATTATTGTAAATATTCAAAATGCGAACGATCCCGCGTCGGTACGAACGCGAGCGGCATCCAAATGGGTAACTTATCTACATTTCGCGCGACTAGTCTTAGTGATGGGAAATAATCGATACTTCGTTAATACCAACACTTTTCAAACCTCCGATACTACGATAGTAAAATTTCGAATACGCATACGTACTTTTTTTTGATAAAACTATTTAACGGCCTCGGGGCTGCTGCAAAGCATCCGAAACGTCGGGCCATAGTTAAAATAAGTTTTACTAATATCTATCGCGTTTTAAACCGTTAAAGTGTAACCATTATTTAAATGTGTACCCGCATAAACTACAGATACCATTTAAGTTTTTTTTATATAATTACCGATTATAAACCAGATAATTATAATCTCATAACTCAAAGCGACAAAAAATATGACAAGTGCGCATTTACTGTTAAATTGGGCTAAACCATGTTAAAAGTAAAAAAAAAGGAATACTTATCCGTGTTTATTTAATTACATCTCATTAAAGACAGTGCATACATTATAATCTCATTAAAATTTAAAACACTTTTTGGCGTTACACAATAAAAAGCGGTCGAAATAAAATTATGCTTGGAACTGGCTGTCTGTTTTTGTTTTGCATTCATTGCACGCTATCATTAATTAATCGGGCTAATGTAAAAGCGGCATTAATTGGTGGAATCTTCCATAAATACGTGTTTAATACGTGGAGTAACCTACTCCTAATGTGAAAAAATAGGAACGCAATTAACCAATATGATTCGTGTTTTAAACTGTGAAATTATCACTCGCGGTCAAATGAGGTTACAAATACCTGAATTAACAAGAATATTTATCGTTTTAAATCGTTAGGAATGTTTTTTCATACTTACTATACTTATCTGTCTAATCTAAATTTTAATGCTTACAAGAATATACACGTTTTTAACTTATTTTAATACAAATATTAGATTTTTTATATATTTGTCTATTGGCAACCCCTTTATAAAAGCTAATTGTTTAAATGTATGTGTTGTCTTCCCGTGACCACGGCTTCTGCAACGCATCTGGAACATCAGGCTATAGTAAAAATTTTGAAAAAAATTACTATATATATCGCGTTTTAAACCGTTAAAGTATTTAATTGTATGTGTACTCACCTGCTGTACTTACTCGCGTAAACTACAGACAGTATTTATCCCCTATTGTTGCAATAAAAGATCTGATCCACGTGAGGCAATCGCCCTGTTAAAATCTATACAAAAAAAAATAACGTTAAAACGCCCAATATCGACAAAAGCACATTCCTAGAGGGGCATAGACAAACATCGGCAGTGTATCTGCAAATTATAGAGCACTCGATACCGCAGTCCCAAGAGTGTGGAAAACGTTAGGGAAAAATTCGGACAAGAATCCAGCCTTTACATCTCCGAATAAACAAAGAATTATAAAGTAAATATAAAATTCCAATTCAAAAATATTATACTATTCCAATTACAAAGATAGCTGAACAAAATGTCGGGCATTCAAAAAAAGCTCAGTAACAATTACAGATAAAAAATAATTGAGTAGTGTGTGTATGTCAACTGTCATTATTGGCTTTTCAATCGTTATTATGGGTCTTAAGACAACAGACACCGCTCGCACTACAAGAGTAAAATCGGATCTAAATCTGTTTTTATTTATTTAACTTTATTAATTATATACACCACATATTTTTATGAGTATTACATGAATAAAAAATTATGAACTACCTTATTAAAAAAAGGCGGCCTTATCGCTACTAATCGATCTCTTCCAGACAACCGGATGACGCCGGCAAATTCGAAAAAGAAAGAAATTAAAAGGTAATATTTGAGAATTGTTTATTTGTGACTATGGTTATAGGATACACATTTGTACATATCATGTGTTTTTTTTCTTTATCGTAAATGATTCAAAATACGCTTTAGAAACAGTTCCCTCAATTAGATAACTCTTCAAAAATCGCATGCAATTCAACAAATTAAATCATTACCGAATTTGTCGCATTCAAGAACACTTCAAATCTCCCGAAAAGGCGGGAGACAATTAAGACAAAAAAGCAGCAACACTGACGTTCCACTCGGCACGATTGCCCCGTCGCAATTAGTTCAATTTCTGAACGCCGGTGATGCCAGAGCGAAAAATTAATTTCCGTTAGTATTCTTGAGAGCTCGTTACATTTGTCGACCTTTGAATCTTGATGTAATTT